TCCGACTCCGGCAGAGGCGGCTGGTAGCCAACGTGGTTCTTGTCGAGGGGCTTGAGGGAGAGCGTGACGAGGATGGTTGACACCTTGCGCTCCACCTCCATGTTTTCCTTCTTTCCGTCAACCGCCTCGTACTCGTCGTGGATGACCTCCGACGAGATGTCGGTCGTCTGGTGCAGGCCGACCACACGACGCTTCACAATCTCCGCAATGTTCACCGCATTGTGGATGGCGGCACCCATGGCGCTGATTTTGATCGTGTCGTGCTGTGTCTTGCCATCCTCACCGCGAAGGAGCGCAATCGCGTAGGTGATATAGCTGCGCTGGCCGTGCTTTGCCGTGACACGGATCTCGTTTTCGGGTCCCTGGCCCTTCTCCTTTTCGCCGTCGTTCTTGCGAACACGGCGGTACTCGTCGCGGGGCGGATACACAGGCATCGTCGCTGAGTTGTCACTGAAGTACGGAATGGCCTAAACCCTTGTTTACTAAGCCAATGCTTAATTGTAGATCTCTGAGGTTGTGGATAGGAAAATGAAAGGTTGAAGCAGAAGCGACTTAAACAAGAGTAGGCATGGTGCCGCTTACGGTCGGTATTTCCATTTACCCGTTTTCCCCCCTTCGCGTCCCCCTCCGCACCTTGGTGAAGCAAGGGGAAGGAAACAAGCTGAAGTGGTAAAAAAGTTGGGAACAGGGAGGGCAACGCACGCACAAAAAGTCTCTTTCCAAGCACATTCTTTCCTTCTTATTCCGACTACCTCTGCTCCCCATCACCACTACTTTCTCGCTTTTCTTCCGCGTGCCCCATTCCTCCCTTCGTCAGAACCACACATCTTTCTCTTTCCGTGTGCGTGTGTGTGTGTGCGTGTGCGCATATGGTATGCAGGTAGCGGAAATTGTGTTCCTCTCTCATTATGCATTTACGTTCTTTCCCCCATCCCTTCCCTCTCCTTTCCTCTCTTCTCACTCTTGCTTGTGTCTTCTTCTTTTTTTCCGATGAGTTCTCCAATACCTTGTTCTTCCTTCCTTCTCCACTCTCATTCTTTGTTGGGGTCGGGTTCATCCCGTTCTGCTCCTCTTCCTTTTCCTTTCCTCTTACCTCTCCTTCTATCGGATGTCCCCCTCGGAGAAGCCCCCTCCTCTCCTCCATCAGCAAGGTTATTCTCCGCCGCCTCCAGGCTTTTTGTATTCTCCGTCTCCTTCCGTGTTTTCTTTGACGCGCTTCTTCTTCGCGTCGCCTCGCATTCTTCACTTGCCACCTCCAGGAAGAAAGCACGGGAACACACAAACACGGCACCTCTGAGAGACACCGCCACAGCCAGGAGACACAGAAGAAATGCGACAAAGACATTTACGAGGTGCTTATCGCGTCATTCCATACCCTCAGCTTTTATTCACACTACCACCTCCCCATTCATCTCTCATTCCTGACAACTGACGGGGCGGCTTCGTTAATTCCTCCTCCCGTTTTCTTTGCGTGTCCATGTGCTCGGATTAGTTCGTTTTTCTTCGTTTTGTTTCTCCAAATTTTGTCTCGCCCTTCTGTTGTGGCACGCATACGGTTATTGTACTTGGCCGTTTTTTTTGTTTTTTTTGTTGCATTTTTTTTTTCGGCGCTTGCCACGGCGAGTCAAGCCTTGCTGCGGGAGATGCCGGCACGCAGCCACGCAGAAGGAGAAGGAAGCCTCGGTTTAAATGTGGAGAGGTGGAGAGATTGGCGATGCTTACGCTGTGTGTTGCGCGGGTGTTGGCTGGAGTGGTGAGGGGGCACATGTGCACGTGCGTGTGGGTGCGTGAGTTCCGCACCGCCCCCATACAATCGACCGTTCAACACACACCAAAGATGTTTTTTTGTTGTTGTTGTTGTTCTGCGTAAAGTACAAGTGCCAAAAAAAGGAGGAAAAAAAAATGTCCTCTCTGCCCCATACAAAATGCATTCATTTTCGCCCTCCCCTCCCCCACCCCCATCACAATTATGGTTAACAAAAGCCCCACCCCGCACAAAGTAAAAAACAAACAAACAAACAAACAAACAATAAAACCCAATACAAAAACAAAAATGACACCACCACAGCAAGGAGCGAGGAATGTGGTGTGAGGGTCGCCCATGGGATCATCAAGAAGGAAGGAAAGAGAGAAAGAGCGGCAGTGTGCATGAAGGAGCAACCCCACGCATCTTCGCATACCCCGGCCTCTTACTCCATTACTTCTCGAAAACAAAAACCCACATAAACCACGCCGCACCCACAGACGCAAACTCAGACACAAAAAGAACCATCTCCACGCACACAAATACCCATGTCAACGGCAGCAAACCCCATTTTTCTTACCCCGTTTTGGAGCACTCACCAGAACAGCTTCAGTCCCTTCTCTCTTTGTGTTGTCCCGTTCCTTCTCACTATTGTCGACGTTCGTTTGGCCCTACACCGCAAGGTGCAAGTCTTTTTTTCCTTCCCACAGTTCTCTCTCTTTGTGTCCTTTCTCCTCAGCGAGCCGCCTTATTTCAGTACGATCCCCCCTCCCCTTCCTCACCTCAACCTCTACGCATGTCTCCCTTCATCCCACTCCGAGAAAGCAATCGGCCTAGACGTCTTTTTTATCTCCTTGATTTTGCTTTTTTTTCACGTTTGCTGCGTTTTTTTAAGTGATATTTCCGTATCTTGTTCTCCTCATTCACTGTTGCTGCTGCTGCTGCTGCCGCCGCCGCCGCCGCCGCCGCCGTCGTCCTCTTCCACGTAGAAGGTTCAAGGGTCTCCTATTTGTTTAGTAAATCATATTGATAATTCTCCGCCTTCTCCCGCCCCCTCCCCCCCCCCCCCGAAAAAAAAACGAGCAATTCCATTTTCTTTCTTTTTTGCTCCTATTGAATTCTTTTTGTTTCCGTTTTTTCTTCTTCTTTCCGCTCTTTCACGCACCGCATTGTCTTCCACGCCACATCGTTGATGAGATGTATGGAGCACAGACCACGGCAAGGTGGGAACGATGTCTCCCCACACCCAACACAGCCCAGTTGCTTTTCACGTAGTGTTTCTTTCAAGTTAAACATCGGCCCTATTTCGATCCCTTCCGCGCTTCTTTGGTCGCGAAACCTCCGCCAGCTGCGGCATCAATCTACACGACGATCGTTGCGACGATCAGGGCCACCTCGAGCCCCACCACGCGCTGATCCACCGCGGCCATTGCCGCCACGTCCACCGCGGGGGGCGCCGGTGTTGCTGCTGCCGCCGCCACCGCGCTGTCCCCCACGCGAGGAGCCGCGGCCGCGGCCGCCGCCCCCGTTGCCTCGGTCACCGCCACGGCCCCCACGGTCGCTGCGCTCACCGCGCTCACCACGATTGTGGTTTCCACCAGCAGCCTCGCCGGCCTCAGCCTCCTCCTGCTCCTTCACCTCCGACTCCGGCAGAGGCGGCTGGTAGCCAACGTGGTTCTTGTCGAGGGGCTTGAGGGAGAGCGTGACGAGGATGGTTGACACCTTGCGCTCCACCTCCATGTTTTCCTTCTTTCCGTCAACCGCCTCGTACTCGTCGTGGATGACCTCCGACGAGATGTCGGTCGTCTGGTGCAGGCCGACCACACGACGCTTCACAATCTCCGCAATGTTCACCGCATTGTGGATGGCGGCACCCATGGCGCTGATTT